GGCGAGGGGGTGGGGCGCGGGTGGGGCCCGAACGGGCTCATGGAGGTGGTGCCCTCAGGCGGCGGCGATGTGGTGGAGGTGGAGACCATCGAGTTGGTGAAGCCCGCGCGGCAGGACTTGGTGAAGGTGGTGGACGGCGCCAACAGGGGCAAGACGGGCAAGCTGATCAGCATAGAGGGGACGGACGCGGTGCTGATGGACGGCACGCTGGCGGAGCTCTCCTTCATCGGGCGGCTCGCGGACCAGGGGTGATGCGGGTGACGCGGGCGCGTGGCAAGCTTTCTGTTTGGGGGAACGACGGCGGTCGGATGCGTCGTCTTTTCTCTCTCTTGCGGCGCCGTCGGTTTTTGTTTGGCCGCGTGTGATTGCGTCGGCCGAGGTGGCCGTGTGCGTCCGCTTCGCAAGATGGTCCCAGGCATGTCTTCAGGTCGTTTATCCCAGTAATCGTGCTGGATTTTTGCTGTGGCCTCCCAGTCATAGTGTTTGGCGCCAGCAACTGCGGCACGTGCTGTCAGGAAGGGTTCCCTGCTGCTTGCGTCGCGTGCACGCAAGGTTCCGGCGGCGCGCTGTGCAGCGCCACAAGTGTGCTTTCGCGGAAACCTCAGCTGAGTAACGGCTTTTCCTTCGCTTATATACCTTTGGGATTCAGAACGCTCTCTCTTGCAAGTGTTGGGCGGGGCGAGCCTGGGCAGCTGCTGTCAGGTAGCTGTGCTTCAGTCTTTCAGTCCAAACCCATTCGCAGCACGCACGACTTGCTAGCCAACCCTCTGCTGTTGTGATTGTGTGCCTCATAATGCGTGAGAGTTTCTGCATTGTTTTCCCTGAATAACCGGACGTGGCTTTCCAAACTCGTCGCCTCAACGTTTGCCGGCGGCTTTTCGACTCGCCGTGCCTTTTCGCCTCGCCTCGCGTTACCACCCGCTGGCTCGAAACCTGCATTGCGAAGCTGAAATAACTCGATCGAGTTAATGCCTCGCCTTCTTGCTGTGTGGCATGAACCAGGAGCTTTGACCAAAGTGCACCGCATCGTTGACCGCAAGTGCCTGTCAGCGCCAAACCTGCGCTTGCGGGCGCATCAGCAAGCAGCGCCGCAGCCCAGGCGACCCCGCTCCCGCAGCAGGAGTCAGGTCTTTTGCTGAAGGGTTTTGGCAGTGTTTGGAGTTCCGACCATCATCACTATGACGAGACATGACTGCGCTGATTATAAGCTCTCGGATCTGGAGCTGGGAGGTGTTCAGGCGCTGCTGCTGGCACGCACAGGCGTCATGCCGCCACTCTTCAGGCTGCCGGCGGCATCCACGGCCGTGAATGCGGCGGCGCTGCCGTGTGTGGCGGCAGCGGCGTCTCCAGTGCCCAGGCGTGACCCGCTTGCAACAGGGGCAGCCGTCGCGACAGTGGAGGGGGCGGCTCTGGTAAAGAGGCACTTGGCGGCTGCACCGGCGGTCTCACACCAGGCTCCTATAAATTTTGATCGTCCGGCAACTCACAGGGCTGCAGAGGGGGCATATAGCATGAGTGCAGGGCAAGTAACACGGGTCGGCGGCAGCGCCAGCAGCGGCAGCGGCGCCGATGTAAGGCGCGGCACCCGGGCGGTGCAGGTGCCCAGGAAGGCTGGAGACACGCCGTGCGCGGCTGCCATAACGCTCGAGGCGCTGCAGCAGGTGGGCTGGCCGGCTCCTTCCCAGTCCCGAGCATCGAGCCAAAGTCGCCGCAGCTGCCCGACGCTTGTTGTTGGGCTGGTCGCTGTGACGTGCTGGAAACCATATACCCATACGTGTGCTGCCCCGCTCCTTGCAAGGCTGAGGTATCGTTTACAACTCCTGTGCACTATGAGCCCATCCATGCACCTTCCTCCAGCCCCCATGCAGCCCCCTTGCCCCCCCCCCCGCTGTCCCCTCTCATCTCGAAGCTGTACGACCAACCCATCGACTGTGCGGCGGCGGCGCTCGGCGTCGGCCAGACGATTCTGAAGTACATGTGCCGGCAGCGCTTCGGCATTGAGCGTTGGCCGTACCGCAAGCGGTGCTGCCTGCGGCAGCTGGAGGCATACCTGGGGGCTTGGGGACCCACCGTTGGGGGCGAGGCGGTGGGTACGCGTGCGCGCTCGCTTGCAACCCACCTGCGCACCTGCCTTGGTCGTCGGCTGTGCAATAGCAGGGGATGGTCGGCCGAGCGCAGGCACACGTAATCTGACTTGGGCGGTCCTCAAAGAGCTCCAGGACCCCCAGATCAGATACCATGTGTCTGCGCTTGGTCCCTAACCAGCTGTGAGTCACAGCTCTCGGTAGCGTACCATCTGAGTGCAGTCAGCTGAGTCAGCTGACTGCATGCCCTTTTGGAGATAATTGTTTGTGTATGTACTCTTGTGGCACAGGCGGGGGTGACTGCCTCAAGGGACGAGCTGCTGGGGGAGGTCAGGTGGGGCCAGGGCTGGGGGCAGGGCGGGGCACGACTCAGGAGTGAGGGGGGGAATCACCTGCGCCAGCAATGCCGCCATTGCAGCAACGCACCCCCAAGCACGACAGAGCCTGCCCTGCCAGCAATCGAGACGCGCAGGAACGTAGATTTGAGGTCCACCCCGCAGGACAACAACGTTGCGTCACTGCTGCGAACCCGCGCCGCAGGTCCCTGCAGGAGAGGCTGGTGGGTAACCCCAACCTGGCCCTCACTGCCAGGGTCTTGTGGCTGAGGGACTACATCTACAAGTCAGAGTACAGGTGAGGGGTGCGGGGCACCCATTACCTAGGGCCGACCTTTGGGAAGGCGTAGTTAGGTGCCACGTTTGCGCACCTGGAACTAACAGGAGCACGGGGGGTGGCGCCGCATCGCCAGGGAAGATTTATGCAACAGTGCTGTGGGGCTGGGTGGACCATGGGCGAGGTCGGCGCGCGAGTGAGCTGCACCTCGCAGCATAAGCCTTGCCGAGGCAGAGCCCTGCGCACTTGGGTCCGCCTGAGCTGTCCACTTTTCTTGCCTCATGCCGCATTCTTGCGCCCAATCATCGTGCCACCTGCCGAACCAGGGCGCGGAGTCAGGCACATGTACGCAGGCAGCAGCAGCCACAGCAACACCAGCAGCTTCAAAGCAAGCGGCAGCAGTACGAGCAGAGGAAGGCAGCCCCAGCAGCCCCACTGGAGCAACTCCCCCAGCAGCCCCAGCTGCCCAGGCTGCCCCAGCAGCCTGATCAGCCAGATAGGCAAGATCACAACAGCAGCAACAATCAACATCACAGTCACTTGCAAGGGCATAGGCGTAGCTAGGGAAAGGCCACCAGAAGCTCTATCTCCGCTGCACAGTCCAGCCGGTGCCTTATCTATCCGCCTGTGATGCCTGGTTCCTGGGACAATTGAGCCATTCTAGGGTCTTTGAAGTCCTTCCTTCGTTCTGACATGTGGCGCATCTGAATTGTTTTTGACCAGGTGCAACTGTCATCAGTGAAAATGACCATGAGTTGTGAAGTGTAAGCCGAATGTCCTTACAGCACACAGGCTGTCAGCGTATAGGCTTCAGCCACCGCAATATGGAACCCGAACACTCGGGCCACCTTTGGATACCAGCAGCCTCCGCACACTATTCATGTGTGCATGAAGACGCCACACCAGTGCACGCGCAGCCTTCGCCGCCTGACGTGTTACAAATGGGAGGGCTTGGAAGTGACATGTGACGTCATTTGTGTCAACCCAAGGCGCAAAGTACCAATTTGCTCAAGCTGCATGGGCAGCTTTGAAGCCGGACGTTGCAATGCGTTGATGTGCTTTCCGGCAGAAGGCAGCAGGTACGTTTCACAAATGTCCAGGTCGTCAGGACAGATGCAGTGTGTCAGTGCGTGGTGGCAGATGCTGAAAGATACTGTGGGGCAGTCGAGTCTGAATGCAAATGATTTGAGTGCATCAGCTGGAGTATAATCAAGGCAGCTCCAGGCCGCTCCTGCCGGCACGAGAAACAATCCTTGCCGCCGTCACACTCCCCCATGCCCGCCTTGCCGCGATACCCAGCAACGCCACTCTCCGGCTCCAAGGAGGGGCCAACCCATCCCATGTACCCGCACGCGTTCAACCCGCTCCGCGGCCGCTCCCCCCGCCTCACCCCAACCACACCGACGGCCCCAGACAAGCGCAGGCCGCCGCACCGCGTTGCCCCTCACGCCTCCGCCTCCGGCACGGGCTCCAGCGCGGCCAGCAAGGCCGCGCCGCGCCGCGAGCCCTCGTCCATGGAGCCCGACATCCTGCGCTCCAGGGAGCCGCGCCCCGTGCCCGCCAGCCGGGCGTCATAGGCGTCCAGGTCGCCGGAGGGCACGCGCACCAGTGCGGCAAAGGCGGCAAAGTCGAGGCCGTCGTCCTCCTCGCAGGCGGCCTCCACCAGGACGTCCTCAATGGCAGAGTTGACCTGGTGGGGTGGTGTGGGTGACCCAAGAGGGGTGGGGCCCGGGGGGGGGGTGGCGTGTGACGGAAGAGGAGGTTGCCTTGCCGGTGGGTGGCCGGTTGGCTGCGTTTGGTTGCGGACGGCTTCAGTTGGCTGCGGTTGTTGGAGGGTAGGCCATCAGCTGTGGCGACCAAAAAGGCAGATCCCAGGCTGATGCGCCGGAGGTACAGGCAAGCACGCAGCACGTCCGGGCCTTTACGGACTGCCCGCGACCTCCACCCCTACCTCCTGCCCCGCAGCCCGCCACCCCAGGGCACCCATTTCCCCCCACCTCCTCCTCTGGCAGCTTGTCCATGAGCACCCTCATGATCTCGGCGGTGGATATGCGGCCGTCCCTGTCGCGGTCCAGCCCCTCAAAGGTGGCGCGCAGGCAGGCCAGCCACTCCTCGCGGTGGTTCATCTGAGGCGGGAGGGGGTGGGGAAGGGTTGTGCGTGAATGGTGGCAAATGAGTGCGCAGCCAGCTGACAAGGGCTGATTGGGCTGGGGTAGGTCCCCCATGAGCTGCCGCGGACGGCAGGATTGGATCACTCGTCTGATGAGTGCTGTCAAGATGAGAAGAGCTCCGCTGCGGTTCCACTGTGAGGCCGGGACAGTCAACCCGACCAGCTGCCGGTCGCGGGCCCACCCGCGCGGCCGTCGTCACCTGCAGCTGCCCCCACTCCATCTGGCTGGCCGCGAACTGGGCCTTGCCCACCAGGCCGTCAGGGCCCTGGGCCATCTCCTTGGCCAGATCAGCAACCTGAGTTTGGGGGGAGGGCGATGTTGCGGGGGAAGGTTGACAGTCGCAGGCGAGTGATGTCATGATGATGATGATCGTGCAAAGTCTGACTCCTGCTGTGGAGGGTGCTGCCAGCAGCAAGCAGGACAGGACTTGCCACCGCTGACAGATTCCAGGAGACGAGCCCGGCCGGTTCCGCAGCCGCAGCCGCAGCTCGAGAACCCCCATCCCCGCACTCGCAGCGTCCGCGCCGCGCCCACCTCTGATGGCGCCAGGCGGTAGCCCATCGCCGGCAGCCGCTCCTGCAGCTGCTCCACGGTCAGAGCCTGGTGGGTGTCGTACTGCAGCCGACGCAGCACCTGGCGCACCTCGTCAAGCATGGAGGCGGGAGCTTGGGACTGCTGCTGCTGCTGCTGCTGCTGCTGCTGCTGTTGCGGTTGCTGCTGCACCTGACCAAATGGGCCGCTGGCTGCCGCCTTACCGCTGCCAAAGGTCCTCGGGGCACTGAGCGGCCGCACGGGCGCGGGCGACACCGCCCCCGCCGCCGCCTTTGCTGAGGCGCCGCCAGCGGGCACCAGGAGCATGCTGCCAGCTGGCGGCGGCGCGGCTGCTGGCGCCGTTGCCGGCGCGGCTGCGGCGGCGGGCCTGGCGCTGCTGGGGGTTGGGAGCATGTTTGAGGGGCCTGGGCGTGAGCCGGAAATGGTGGCTGCGGTCGGCGGCACCCGGCTCACGGGCGTGGGAAGCATGCTGGCAGCAGGTGCGGCAGCTGCGCGGACGCCCGAGCTCGACGGCAACGGCAGCATGCCGGGCCCCGTCCCCCTGGCCGGCGTCGGCGGCGCCGCGGGAGGCGCCGCGGCGGCGGCGTCGGCGGCGCTGCTGCGCGGCAGCGGGAGCATGCTGCTTCCTGAGGCAGCCAGCGCGGGGGTCGGTTGGCTGCTGCGTGGCAGCGGCAGCATTCCGCTTGACGCCAATGGTGGTGTCGGCATGACAGCCCGGCTGCCGCTCGGGAGCGGCAGCATGCTGCTGGCTGGAGCGGGAGCGGGGCGCAGCCCCCCCTGGCTGCTGCTTGGGAGCGGGAGCATGCTGCTGGCTGTGGTGGATGTGGCGCGCAAGACCGGCTTGCTACTGCTCGGGAGCGGGAGGATGCTGCTGGGCGCGGCGTTTGCCGCCGCCGGTGCTGCCGCCCCGCCCCTGCCCCCAGGAAGCGGCAGCATACTGCTCGCCGCTGCCGCCGGCGCGCTGGTTGCTGCTTCTCTGCCGCTCGGGAATGGAAGCATGCCGCTTGTTGCTGCTGAGGCCGGCGCCGGCGCCGGCGCTGGCGCTCGGCTGCTGCTTGGCAGGGGCAGCATGCTGGATGGCTTTGGCAGCATGCTTGTTGCAGCAGACGGGGCCCTGGAGCTGGTTGGTGCCGGTAACATGCTGGTGGCTGCCGCTGAGGAGGGCCCCGGCAACAAGCTCGCAGAGCCTGCGGCCGCCGGCCTCGCGCCGCTTGGCGTCGGCAGCATGCCGCTGCCCGCCGCGCGCCGCTGGTCGCCGCCTGGGCTTGGCAGCATGCCGCTCGCCGCTGCTGACGGTGCTGACAGCCTCCCGGCCGCCGCTGCGGATGCAGGGGACGGCAGAATGCTATCGCCGCCAGTCACGCTCGCAGCTGCAATGCTGCCGCCGCCCCCGCCACCACCACCACTACTGCTGCCGCCGCCGCTGCCGCCGCCGCTGCGGCCGCCGCTGCCGCCGCCGCTGCTGCCGCTGCCGCCGCCACCGCTGCCACCGCTGCCGGGAGGGGCGCCGCGGCTGGGTGAGGGGAGCAGCAGCATGTCTGCGCCGCCCTTCGGCAGCTTGACTGGCGGCCCCCCTCCCGAGCCCGGCCTGCCGCCAAAGCCCGCCCTCCCCGCTTTCGCCAGCTTCGCCAAGCTCAGCGGCCGCAGCGCCCCTGTCCCCTCAGCCGCGTCGCTGGCCTTGTCGCAGCCGCCGCCGCCGCCGCCCCACCCGCCGGGCCGGATGCGGCGCGCGGGCGGCATTGTCATGTGCGCCGCCATTGCCGCGCGCGCCGCCGCCCTGACCGCCGCCTGCAGCTCAGGGTCGACCTCCTCCTCCCCCTCCGCCTCCTCGTCTTCCGCGTCCGACGGCGCCTTGTAGCCGAAGTGCTTGGGCGCGCTGCGCGGCTTGGCGCGCGGCGACGGCGGCGCGGGCGGCGGCGCGGGCGGGATGATGACGATGGTGGGTGAGTCAGCAAAGTTGACCCGGCTCTTGACGCGGACCATGGGGCGGCGCGGGTCGATGCCGGCGCCCAGGCCCTCGGACGCGGCGGCGGCCGCGCCGGGCGCCGGCCGCGGAGGGCCTGCGGCGGCGCTGGCCGCGCGCGCGGGGTTGGGGCCCGGCGGCGCTGGCGCGCCGGGGGAGGGCGAGATCTGGGGAGCAGGCTTGCTGGGGACCGCGGGGGAGGGCGCTGCGTCGCGTTCTGGCGACTGGAAGTCCAGTTTTTTCTGCTGCTGCTGTCCTTGTTCCTGCTGTTCTTGTTCTTGCTGCTGCTGCTGCTGCTGCTGCTGCTGCTGCTGCTGCTGTTCTTGTTGCTGCTGATGCTGCATCCGATC